AGTCACATCTTCAGGCTCCACTTCTAAATTCTAGTTCTCTTGATATTTCCACTATATCTGCACTTCCTCCCCTGAAGTTTTAAACCCCTCAAAGTCATCCATGAGGGTTGCAATCAACTTGTCCTAAACTCCTATTAATGCTGATATTTTTTACCTCTTCCCATGAATCACAAATGTTAATGGCATTTAGAATGGTGAATCCTTTCCAGAAGGCTTTCAATTTGCTTTGCCCAGATTCATCAGAAGAATCACTACCTATGGCAGCTATAACCTTACACAATGTATTTCTTAGATAATAACACTTGAAATTCAAATTTACTCCTTGATTCATGGGCTGCAGAATGGATATTATGTTGACAGGCATGAAAACAACATTAATCTCATTGGACATCTCCATCTGAGCTCTTGAGTGGCCAGGTGCTTGGTTAATGAGCAGTAATATTTTTAAAGGAATCCTCTTTTTCTAACCAGTAGGGCTAAAATATTTAGTAAACCATGTTGTAAATAGATGTGTCATTATCCAGGCTTTGTTGTCCACTGATAGAGCACAGATAGTGTAGATTTAGCATAATTGTTATGGGTCCTAGAATTTGGGGAATAGTCAATGAGCATTGGCTTCAACTTAAAGTCACCAGCTGCATTAACTTCTAACAAGAGATTCAACCTGTCCTTTGAAGCCTTGAAACCAGGCATTGACTTCTCTAGCCGTGAAAGTCCTAGATGGCATCTTTCAATGTAAGGCTGATTCATCTACATTGAAAATATGTTTAGTGTAGCCACGTTTATTAATGATCTTAGCTAGATCTTCTGGATAACTTGCTGCAGCTTCTACATCAGCACTTGCTGTTTCACCTTGCACTTTTATATTATGGAGACAGTGTCTTTCCTTAAACCTCATGAATCAACCTCTGCTAGCTTCATACTTTTCTTCTACAGCTTCCTCACCTCTATTTTGTTGTCTTGATTTAGTCATATTTCTCATCTTTAAATGAGTGTTTGGACTGGTTGTTATTTAGATTCCCATATAGCTCTAATTCTACATTTTAATATAAATATAGCTATATTATAGATACATTGTAATAAAAATTGGTTAGGGAGTAGGGTTGAGGAGAGTGGGAAAATATCACAAGAAAAAGAAAATATGGCACCCAACCTGAAGATCTTTTGTAACCCAGTACATACAAGCATATTTTTGCTCAGGCCTAATGAGAATTTCCAATGACTGAGTACACAGCTATGAAGTTTCACATTCTTGTCTTTTGAATCATTGATCTGACTGAAATAAATTGCATTTTCTATATTTTAATTTACACCTATTTTATAAATTTGTGTTACTCAGAAAGTCTACACAACTGCATATTGAAATCTGGGAAAAACAGAGTCAGTTGATTTCACTTCATATTTTTCAATGTAGTGCATTCCTAGTATGCATATGATTAAATAATTCAGAGCAGTTTTGCTTTGGATGTAATCAAGACAACATAAAACTCCTCAGCAGTAGATGAACTGGAAAAACTGGCTGGCTCTGGCAGACCCCTGGGAGAGATCAGTGTTTTATTTTGTCATGTTTGGTATGCAGCTTCATTTTGATTTTTATTACATTAGGCTTTTCTTTTTGACTTCTTTTACTCCAGCTCCTTTGTGACGGCAATATTACAGGGTCTTTAAAAATAGAATATTGAACAAAGGGAAAGGAATAAGGCACCACTGTGGGATGGTGATTTGGCTATAAAAATCTTCTTTGAGCCAGATGATCGGTTTATGACTAACTTTATTCAGATTTAATCATTTAATATTGACACAATTTCAATTAAAAAATGTTTCTCTCTTTCAAAGGATACTGTTAATTTATAATATGCTTAAGAATTGCCAGTGAGTTTGAGGACAAAATTATATAGGGTATTTCAATGTGTCTATCCATCCTCTGAGATGGAATGGGCTGTGGAAGTCCAGACTCTTCTTTATGCAGGGTACAGAAAGCTATTGGATATCATCTTGGACAACTGTGCAGACTCTAGAGCCATTATAGTTTCAGTAAGGATGCTTAAATAAGGAGTGGGGGACAGAGAAGGATGCTGGGGGATATGAGTATTCTTTCTGCACTTTTGCATTCAGGTACCCAGGAAATCCTCTAAGACAGATACATTTATGCAGTACCTTCTGTGTGTCAAAGCACTGTGCCATATACCCCATTGTTATCTAATCCTTCCCATAGGCCATTGAGCCCTTACAGAGCTCTCTCTGTAATCAGAATTGCCCCCAAGTCTTACCTGTCTGAGGGTACAGATGAGGTTCTGTTAACACTAACACCTAAACTGCAATGGCACTTAGTCCTCCCTGTGTGACAGCCAACCTTACAGGCTCTCCCTGTGGGTGTCTCATGTGGCTTGAGAGCAAGGCTACTTCCATTCCTCCGCTCTGATTCCCACATTGATGGGACCAGCACCAATTCTTTTGGGAATGCTCTCTCCAAGCTTTCCTGCCAGACGGAGCTACCCTGGGTTGGCAGCTACCCTTGGATCCCTCAGCACAAATCTGAATTTGGGATCAGTGGTACCATGAGGTACTGTGAGAGGGTTATAGGAATTTTCTTCTAGTGTCATCATTAATGACACTGTGAGACAGTGTCATTAGATGGCTTTATACCCATCTCTGTGCAGCACTTCACCTGGACCTGAAGTTGCACTCATTGTACCATTATTATGCACACACACCCAACTCCCACCTCACTGATTATTGCTTCATCAACTTCTGTTCTTCACTCCTCTTTCCACTGGGCCTCAAGAAAATTCCCCAGGCCATGTGAAGAGACAGAGAGACCATGCCCCTTCATTCTTTTCATATTCCCCATCCCTTCCTTCTTTCAGGTATCACAGCACACTCCTCCCCACCCATTCCTCTTTCTTTAGAAACCCTTACACATATCAGTTCATGACAGTAGACATCTAAAGGGATCATGTATCCACCCATTCTACACACAGATGACCAGACTCTAAAACCCATTTTGGAATCAGCTGGAGCAATTAGCTAAAAGTCCCTGTGTGCCACCTGAAACACAGGGAAGTAGGATTCCAAAGGGTTGTGTTCTTCAAACATTATACTGCTTCCCAACACACAGGCCTAGAATTTGCCTTGTTTCTGACTCCGTGTGCTTTAGAAGACTTGTCACCAAACACCATTCTCAATAGCTAACATAATGATTTTGAGGGAAAGAAAATAAGAAGTGTAGAGACTATATTCTGAATTTTACTACTTAAAAAGTTCATGTTATGGGACACCTGGGTGGCTCAGTCAGTTAAGTGTCTGCCTTTAGCTCAGGTCATGATCCCAGGGTCCTGGGATCGAGTCCCACAGCAGGCTCCTTTGCTGAGTAGGGAGCCTGCTTCTCCCTCTGCCTGCTCTGCCTGCCACTCCCCCTGCTTGTACTCTCTCTTTCTCTGACAAATAAATAAAATCTTTTTTAAAAAGTTCATGTTATTTGAAAGATAATCATATGCAGGGGTACTAAAAGGCATAATACCAAAGAAAATTGAATCTGTCGGGGAAGCTTCCCATTTCCATGACATTTTGAAGGAAGTAGTGATTTATTATTTTCAGATGTATGATTGTTTTTTTTTTTTTTTTTTTAAAATTTTTATTTATTTATTTGACAGAGAGAGACACAGCGAGAGAGGGAACACAAGCAGGGGGAGTGGGAGAGGGAGAAGCAGGCCTCCTGTGGAGCAGGGAGCCCGATGTGGGGCTCGATCCCAGGACCCTGAGATCATGACCTGAGCTGAAGGCAGACGCTTAACGACTGAGCCACCCAGGCGCCCCTGATTGTTTTTAATGTTTTTAGTTGTACTTTTTTTCTGTACTGAACAATGCACATTAATCTGCATATTTTAGTTTGCTAGAAGTCCTGAGCTTGCCTCACAACTCAACTCTCCCAAGTTTCATGAAGAACACTGTGGGCTGCCCTGATCTCTGGCCAAAGCTGTGATCAGTGTTGTACTCTGAACCTCATGACTGAGGTTCCAAATGCATTTGTGGTAGAGAGGCCAACAGTAGCTATAACTTCCTTCTCCTCACTCCTTGGTAAATGTTTGCATTGCAACTGTCACTCTTCCTCCCACTGTGCCTAATGTCCCTGTTAAAACATTAAGGCACCAGAAATCCCACTGTTTAATAATAATACAGATTGTAATATTTTATTCTACTTTTAACTTTTTAAAGCATTTTGCTCACACAATCATATTTTATGCTGATAACAATCTTTTCAGAGGGCTGGAGCTGATGTCACTAGCTAGCTTATACATGTGACAGAGAGGAAATTGTTGAGAGGTATGCCCAGGACTATCCACTTTGTGGGTGTCTTAACTCTTTCATTGGCGTCTGTTGACTTTAATACATATGATCAGAGGCCTTGATGTAATGACTCTGGTTATGTTTTGATGATTTTGAAAAGCCATTAACATTAATAAAAATTTAAAGTGAATTTTTATTCATTCACTTTTACATTCATCCATTAAAAATATTTAGAGGGGCGCCTGGGTGGCTCAGTCATTAAGCATCTGCCTTCGGCTCAGGTCATGATCCCGGGGTCCTGGGATCAAGCCCCGCATTGGGCTCCCTGCTCTGGCGGGAAGCCTGCTTCTCTCTCTCCCACCCCCTCTGCTTGTGTTCCCTTTCTCGCTGTGTCTCTCTGTGTCAAATAAATAAATAAAATCTTAAAAAAAAATTAAAATATTTATAAGCACCTATTCATGCCTATGGATCTAGCTAGGGAAAAAATAATTAAAAAAAAAAAAGCCAGGTTTTATAGCTGGACTCCTCAGAAAACCAGGTTTCTCTGTATCCAAAGACTGCTTTCCTTTTAGCCCCCAGATTGGGTTGTGAATAAAAATAGTTCTTGTCCTTTTATTTAAAAAAACAAAAAAACTCCACTCTCATGGAGTTTATATTCTAGGAAGCAGGGAGTCCATAAATAAAACAAATAAGTAGGCTATGTATTGTGCAACATGGTGATAAGTGCTAAGGAGACAAAGCAAGAAGGAGTTGGCAGTGGGCTGCATTTCAGACAAGGTACGCACAAATGGCCTCACTGGGAAGATGACATTTGTGTAAAGACCCGAAGGAGAAAGACACTAAGGAAATTAGGTTCATATAGTTTATTTTATAGCCCACAGCTTTTGAATTGCTTTCATATTTATAATGTCATTTCAACCTCACCAGGGAGAATATTACAGATGAGGAAAATGAACCTCAAGGATTTGCCCAAAGTCATGCAACCAGTCAGATTTTAAGATGTACCCAGAACTTAAAAAAAAAAAAAGGATCTCTAGTCACTGTACAAACTCTGCCTCTGGAAATGAAGACTGAACATCTTTTTCAGGTCCATGGAAAAATGGGTTTAATAGTGGATTTTAAAATTTTATTGTAAAACTATTTTAATTTGAAATGCAGAAGTGAAAGTTTTTAAGATCTTTTATCACCCGGCAATCATATTCAATTAGTCATATTTAATACAACTAATTGCTTTAACAACTTTTCATTTTGTCTACTTAAATTCAATTAAATAAATTTTATTAAGTACCAACTATGTGTGCAAGAAAGTGTTCTGTTTGTGGATTAAAAAGCCTGAATAGTCAAATGAGCCATCAAGAATTCATTCAACTATTTTTTGTGCTTGTGACAAAGGTCCTAGTTCTTGGATGGAGCTGTTTCTGGCGATGGCATATAGGACACATAATTCATATTCCATATCCTTTAGTAGGTATAAGTCCTCATGAGGTGGATCCTCAGTTCTGATTTGCAAAAATCTCAGAAATATGGGTGGCTAATTGTTTCTATTAAATTTTTCTTAAAATAACTGGAAAACAAATGCACAAAGATGCTCCCGATCTCTTGGACCCAGAGGAAAAATAATGATACTTTGGGTAAATAAAAAGTCTCATTGATTGCTCTTCTCATTCTTAGGATGGAAAAGAATGAGAAATGTAGTTATAGGTTTCTTTCCACGACACTGAGCATTTAATGCAGATAGCATTTAACACAGATTTTCTTTTTTAAAGCTAAGTGAATGGCCAAGTTCTACTGGACTTGCTTTACATTGCTCAGAATTTTATGATACCCAATAGACAGCAACTAAGGAATAGTGTGCTAAATTTCAGGGTGGTGTTGTTTTCACCCTGTCTCATCACCAGTCCTTTGGGGTAACCACCAGTAAACACAGGGGGTAATATTAAACTCCTATGTTGCAGTCACAGTAGCTGCAAATTGCATTTTCCCAGGCCCCTTTGAAAACGACCACTTCATTAAGCAATGGACATGCTCATCAACATCATCTCTGCCTCCTATAGTTCTCAAACTCTCTTGGCTTGCCTCTCTCCCTCATAATAAAATAAGCAATTTTTTCTAACTGTGCTCACTGTTGTCCCTGTTTACTGAATTAGAGTTTCCAGGTTTGGTAATTGGTCTCCTGCAAATGTTGCAGCAACAAGTGGTTCCCATCACTCAACTGCTGCTGTTCCCATGGAAACTGATGTGTTTACATTCACAGTGTTATTCAACTTTATTTTTCCACCTCTGCAATTCAGTAAGAAGAAATGTGAAAAGGAAAGATATTGCCATAAAAAGGGACAGGAAAGGGAAAGGACTTTTAATTATAGGAATTAATAAAAATTCAATACCTACATGTGTATTTGAATATCTTATTAATATTCAAAGACAAGCATGTTTGCTTTTAGAGGAAAGTAATGAAGGCAGGGACTGGTGGCTTTGTGAGAAGCACTAAAATATTTTAAAATCAGAAATAAATATAAATCTTATTTCAGGCTTGGTTGTAGAGAAAATTATATTTACTATGAAGGTAAGAAATGAAAGTTATATGTGAAGACAATGGTTTTCACAATTTCCTGTAGTTTTTTCTCCCTAATCTTAAGACCTTTTGGGCCTATTATGGACTGAATGTTTGTGTTCCCCCAGATGTCATGTGTTGAAACCCTGACCCCCTAACGATATTTGGAGTTAGGGCCTTTGGGAGGTAATTAGGTTTTGATACGCTTATGAGGCTGGGGCTCCCCATGACGGAATTATTGCTTTTATAATGAAGAGGAAAAGACTCCAGAGCTTTCTCTCTTTTTTTTTTAAGATTTTATTAATTTATTTGCGAGAGAGTGAGAGAGAGAGAGTGCAAGCACAAGCAGGGAAGAGAGGGAGAAGGAGAAGCAGATTCCACACTGAGCAGGGAGCCCAACATGGGGCTTGATCCCAGGACCCTGGGATCATGACCTGAGCCAAAGGCAGATGCTTAACCAACTGAGCCACCCAGGCACCCCCAGAGCTTTCTTTCTTTACATACATTCACCAAGAAAAGGCCGTGTAAGCATACATCAAGGAGGTGTCTACAATCTAAGATGGGTTTCTCACCGGAACCCAACCATACTGGCACCTAATTTCAGACTTCCAGCCTCTGGGAATTTGAGACAATAAATGTGTTCAGTCCTCTCATATATGGTATGTTGTGATAGCAGCCCCAGCAGATTAAGACAAGGCCCTATCATTGAGCCTGCAGGAATGCATTGTTCAAGACTCTGATGCTTCATACATTGTAAAGCAGAATGAATCCTATTTCTCTGTGAAACATGTCCTGTCGATATGTTCTGTGTGTCCCCATAATTTACTCTAAGGTGAGATAAGTTGCAGTTTGAGGAAAGCCCTGGTCATACTTTGGGTCTGAAGTCTTTCTGCTCAGTTAAACCTGGAAATGGAAGCTGAAACCCATTTTTATCCCTGTAAGTGTCATATAGCTGACATGTAGGAAAGTTGCAGGCAAGACAGTGTCATAAATCATTCCATGCAACTGGCCAGGAGCTAAATAATTTTAAATATAAATAAACTATTAACCTCCACTTGATTTATTTTCTAAGGAAGTAGGATCTGGGGAGGATTCTTTGGTTTTATTGAGTGAGGTGGTGAAAGGGAAAAGCAAAGACAAGGGGTAGAGTGCTAGGTTATAGACCTACCAAGAAGAATAAGGTCCAAGGAAAGTAGCAAGGAAGAAGACACATAGTGGAGGAATAAAAAGAAAGGTAGGCTGAGAGCAGTTTGGGGGCATTTATAAAGGGAAAGAGGGAAGTGATTTGAATATTGCCACATGTAATGAAACTTTGGGGGGAATGCAGGAAGTATCTAAAGAGGGCTGTAAAATTATTGTGTTTACTATGTCATATAATCCCTCCCCCTTTGCTGACTCATCAAATGGCCTTGGTGAAGACCTAGATTATTTTTGTTTTCTAAGTTGAACTTGGAGTTTTTTAGTTATGACATGATAAACTTTAAGTTTTACTTGTCTATATTAACTGCCAAAACTTCTTGGCATCCTGCATCATGGGACTTAAATGACTCAATTACCCACCTTAGATGTAGGTATTTCAAAATCAACATGTCAGGCCTGGATTTTACACGGTACTCTTTCCATCTTAATCTTAGTCTGCTGCCTCTCTGTCTCCTCCTGCTCCATTTCTGAAATCTCAGAACCATCCTTGAACTGTCTGCCTAACCCCTACCTATCCATGTATCTTCTCCATTTCATTAAAAGGATTTAACATCCACCTGATAGTTGAATTCCCATCCCAAATCATCAGTTTTGTGGTAGAAAACCAATGTCCGTAAATTCTTTGGAGCGCTTCCCATCAGAAGGTGAAATCTACTTTCCAAGTCCTAGCATCTGTACTGGCTCTGTGATACTCTGCCTAGTGGAAAGCAGTGGGAAATAGTGTTGTATGACTTCCAAGCCTAGGCCTCAAGAAACCTTCATCTTCCACTCACCAACTCACAGTGTTTCTCAACTTCAGCACTACTGACATTTTGGACCAGATAGATCATTCTTTGTTGCTGGCACCGTCCTGTACAATGTAAGATGTTTATCAGCATCCCTGGCCTCTACCACTAGATGCCAATAGCAAGCATCCCCACTTGCCACCTCACAGCCTTCACCCTTGCTAAATAAACTTATTAATCTTAATCTTAATATTAATTTTAGAATATTTTAATTTTTAACATATATAACCATAAATGTACAAATAGTCTTCATAACATATTTCTTCTTATTGCCTTACTTCACTGACTGGGAACTTAGTACTTTTTTCCAATCTCCAAGAGAATGTTTTAAAACATATTATCAAGTATGATATTTGGTATTGGTTTCTTATAGATATATTTTAACTGATTTCTTATAGATATACTTTAACAGATTAAGGAAATTATCTTTGATTCCTAGTTTAGTAATAAGCTTTAAAATATTTTTTGAATGTATGTTAAATTACTAGATCTTTTCTTTTTCTAAGCAGGGGAGGGGCAGAGGGAGAAGGAGAGATAGAATCTTAAGCAGGCTCCACACCCATCATGGACCTGCTGCAGGGCTCGATCTCACCACCCTGAGATCATGACCTGAGCCGAAATCAAGAGTCAGATGCCTAACCAACTGAGCCACCCAGGCACCTCTGAATTTTTAAATCTTGTCTGAATTAATTGAGCTAATTATATGATTTTTCTCATTTGCTCTGTTAATGTGGTGGATAACATTGATTTATTTTATTTTATTTTTTAGAGGGGGGAGAGGGGAGGGTCAGAGGGAGAAGGAAAGAGAGAATCTTAAGCAGGTTCCATGCCCAGTGCAGAGCCTGACATGGGGCTCAATCTTACAACCCTGAGATCATGACCTGCACAGAAATCAAGAGTCGGACGTTTAACTGACTGAGGCACTCAGGCACCCCTGATTTATTTTTAAATATTAATTTTGCTTTCTTGAAATAGGCTCAATTTATCTGGTTTTATTATCCTTTTCATATATTACTAGATTTAATTTCCTAGTAATTTTAGGGTTTTTTTAATCTATGTTTATGAGTATGGATGGTTTGTAATTTTTCTTTATTGAAATATCCTTATTAAGTCTTATTACCAAAGTTATGCTGGCCTTATAATATGAATTTGGGAGATGTTATGATTCTTTTTTCATTTGCCCCCTCTGATCCTTCCTTTGACCTTTTATATATTCAAAAAATTTGACTGCTAAGAACAAA